TAACATTTAAAATTTTCTTTGAAATGTTTCGATGGTTTTTTCTGAGAAATGTTCAATTAAACGTTTTCGTAATTGAATTTGAGGTATCCGAAAATATCCACTAAGATCAATTACAAGTTGTCCAAAAATAAATATATTTTACAAAATGCGTTCTTCTCTAGCACCGATTTGAAGTATTGTTCTGTCATTATGAGAAACGCCGTATAAATATTTGGCGTTGTCAATTTTTTTCATAGAGAAAAAAAATGAAATGTTCGCATTTCGGGCATCTTGAACTTTTTTGATGACGTAGGTCGGTACGGCGACTTTTATTATCTATTTTCTTGGAAATGGTGTAGTTTTTGGAAAAAAGTAATTCTACATAAAGTGTTTGAAACTATATCATGAGTTGATTTAAGCAAAAATATCAGACGTTATGGTCCGTTTTTCATACTTCAAATTCTTGATTGTGCTGACCAGGTTGTACCGACCTACGTCACAGGGTAAACAATCCTCAAGATGCAAACACCTCCTTTTTTTCTCTAAGATTTTTTCTGATAAAACATGATTTTTTGGAAAACTTGTCACTGTATTTCTTTTCATCTTTCAGGGAATATACCTACCAATTTATTCTAAAATACTTACTCTCCCTCTGAAAAAAAGATTTTATAAAAAAAATCTGACAACATCCTAATTTACATACGGCGTTCTTACTCAGCACGGAAGCGCAGGTATTCGTGCACGCCTTTTTCGTTCCCCATGTTCCCTACGCGAACTATCAGAGCCCTCAATCACCAAGCCGTCCAGAATCAATTCAAAATATGGCCTCATAAATTCCCCATCGCCACGCCGAGGAGGGTGGCTCCATTACTCAGAGTGCTCGCGCAAGCCAAATTTCAAGAGTTACCTTCGTAAGTCACCGCATTCCAGCTCGAGGAACCGGAGTCGTGAGTTGTGAGTCGTGACATCCCCCGCGCTGTCGTGACAAGCAGGAACAGCATAAATGTATACGATTTTCATCGGAATTACGGGATTCTTACGTCGGAGAGCAGCACGTCATTCAGCGTCGCTTGCTTTAAACAACCCCTCCACCTTTGCCCAAATATTCGTACCAATAACTCAAAGGGAAAGGTTCACTCCCCACGTTTCGCCGAGATTAGCGTTCTAGCTCATCACTCCAGTGTTTCGCCAAGTTCGGAGACTGATGTCGGGGTATGGTAGCGGTCGTTGTAGCCGCGACTATTGAAGTTGTGACGGGTAGGTTCACAAAAATGTCAGACTGACGCAATAATGGTCTTTTCCTCCCCCTAAATGTAGAGAGTATACCTCAAGCATGATCAAATATGTGAAAACAAGGAAGAAAACGAATTTGCTCTGCAAACGCGTAAAGCGTAGGTCATTTGGCGTTTCTCAACATTTTTGCGTCCCAAATCTGCCGATTTAGGATCAAGACGCAACTCGTGGTGTTTTGCGCGGTCCTAAAACGGTAGGTGTTGGATGCAAAAAAGTTAGGTGACGCAAATTGAACTACCCTTCTCTCAAAAGTGGTCAGCAGTCAGCGGGGTTTGAAGTCTTCAACATAAATTTACTTTGATGTAGGTTCAAATTTATATCAATTGTTCTTCAAGTATCATAAAAGAAAGAAGAACATATTTTTATATAACTAGAAAAAAGTAGCGATCAATAAGGTTATTAATACACCTATTGATCACTAAAATTGTGTTCTTAAAAAAGAAGAAAGAATAACATCTTCCCCTCCCCCCCGAACAATCCAAAGGATTTATCGAAAACAGGAATATCATTAAATTCAATTGAACAGGAACTGAGGCAGTAATTTAGGCTACATTCGGCATCTTTGATTTTAGAATTTTGAAAATTTGACTAAAATTTTGAGTTTCCCGGTCCAAAAATACCTCCCGATAGTAAGCTTCACAAAAACTGATCGAGCAGAAACCGAGATGGCATTTCAGGCTACGTCCAACATCTTTGATTCTCGAATTTTGACAGTTTTTTACAAAATTCCACTTTCCCATTATTGCAAATTAACTTTCCGTATATTTCTTTTATCTTTTTATGCACGTGATTTTTCAAGATTTTCTTTAAAAATAAGCAAATGAACCTAACTCGGTCGGAGTGATTCAAGTAACATAAATGTTACCATTCAATCATCATAATTTCGCAGAAGAAAACAGCAGAACAAAATTACATCGTAAAACAAAGAAATATTCATGAAGAGTCTCGTTAAAAATTATTCGAGCTCGAAAGTTGCACTCCACGACCGTCATGCGCCTGCGGTTCATATGGGAGTTGGGTTAGGTTAGGTCACGCAACTAAACTAACTTCGTAGTGGTGCGTGATGTCTCTTGCGAAATTGAAGGCGCGCCACTGACAAGGCATGTTTGCAATAAACACAGCATGTCATCAATGGACTTGCTCAGTGCTTCAATATCAAATGAAACGATCGCTCATGCCAATACTCAATATCTTGACTCTTCAGCTTTAAATTTCACGTCAACTAAATAAAGAAAGTACGTAAAAAAAATGTAACTTGCCGATCAAGAATCGGGTTCCGTGCAAGCTTCATATTTCCACGTTCAATATTCAAAAAGTTATTACCGCAGGTAAACTTGGGGAATGAAAAATACTGTCAAATTTAGTGTTCACAGCAAACGCATAAACATTTTAAAATGTTTTTGCAGGGTTTTTTGCTAGCAATATCTTCCAAAATTTTTAATTTAACGGGGGGATATATGAGTAGATTGTGATAGATAGGCAAGATGTTGAGTTTGTGACGTCTACTATCAACTGACGCAACTGAATTTCCGATAATTTGAGAGTGACATGGCAACATCTCAAAACTCACAACTTCCAAGGAGGCAAACCGCTAACTGTGCAGTCGTGATGACGTCAGAGTTTGGAATGGGATGCATGACAGGACCACCGTTTGTGGCTTCGGAGCAACGCGCGTAATTGCATATTTTTGTCTCGCTTCATCCGCTTCCCATCTCAACCTCCCGAAAAGTGCACCTTGCGGAGTTTTCCCTCTTGGCTCCTTTCGTCTCATGTCCAATTTATCTTGGGGCTACTTGATTTATCTGCTGGACCAGTTAAGTGACGTTCATCGCAAAGACATTTCCTCCTAAGAATGTTTCACTAGTCTAGTCCTGTGAAGTTCGCTCATTGCCTTGTTTGATACTTAGAGATAAACTTAAAGGTTCGGAATGCTGTTGAAAATTAGTGAAAAGTGCTTTTGTAACCACTTTTTAAAAAACTCAATAAAGTAGAAAAATATAGGAAGGTGTTATATTATTAAACTCATAATTATGTTTAGAGGGTTTTACTAAGAGCGGGAGATTCTAAAAACCGAAGAAAATGTTGTTTTAATCACTCGATAAAGGTTCCAAAACTTGACATATTTCTCAAAATTTGCTGATGCAACGACAAACGATCCCTCTTTTTTGAGAATGCACGGCAAGGTTAATGAATAAAAATTATGCTCTCCCGGTACGCAGACCATCTCTTATCGACGAAAAGCTTTGTTCTGGGAAACGCTCATTTCGTTTTAATTTCCGCGGGAAGTTGGAGAAAAACTGCGAATTTATAATATTTGACTCTCGTTGGTCCATGGAACCAACTAAAACGGTGCAGGAATAGCATTTTTTCACAAATTTTCCGGCCAAAGCTAAAACGGAAGGAACAGAACGGAGGGTTTTGTGAATTTAAGGGCTTGATTAGGGGAAGAGCACACCTTTGTTTCACTTACCTTCTCTGACTCCGCAACATCTCCTCGTCAACGCCCGCCATCTCATCACAGGACGTCCCCGTCGCCTTTTCCCAGGTGGTGCCCAATCCAAAACTTCATCGGGCAAGCTGCCTCCCAACATTCTTCGCATGTGAGTGCCTCCGAGACTGGAGGAATACTTCACGCATTGCGCCAAACACCGTGCGGTCGGGGGTCAACGCGCAAAGCATATTAGCGCCTACAAGAGTGTAGGAATACTTCACGCATTGTGTCAAAAACTTGTTTGGGCACCCTTTTCTCCAACACCGCCGTGTTAAGGAAGAATGCTGTATGAACATTCGATAGTTGCCAAATTGCTGCAAATAAAATACGTATTTTTAAGAACGATTATGCGTATTTTTCCTCGAAAGCAGAAATTTTGTACGCAATTGTGGACAAAAATGTCTGAAAAAATCGAACTAAAAAAGTCACGATTTTCCCAGTGAATTAAGGTTTTGTTGAAGGGAATGTGGCAACGTCAGGAGGTTCATACGGCGTTCTTCCTTAGCACGGCAGAACAGTCTTTGGGCATGTTCATACCAAAGTAACTGCCTTGACATGACGTCATGCACGATATCGCCCCCCGATATGCGTCCCCTTGTCATTTTGTAGATTGCTGTCATTTCTTAGTAATATTTCATGATAATGGAGGTGTTGCATGTTTGAGGAATTTGCGGTTCGACTGTTGATTCTTATGTAAAAGTTTGCGAGACACACAATGGTCCCACTGGTTTTTTCTGAAATCAACTCTCAGCTCAAAAAAAGCTCTCAAGAGTCGAGGCCAAAATGGAGGGGATATCCGACGCTATCCTGATATTCTACCTCTACATTAAGACGAACTCTCCATGCAAAGATAGGGAGCAAATACATTGACAGGGCTACCACTTTATTTGGGGACTCTAAAACTGAAAACACGGCATCACTGCTAATGTATTTGCTCCCTATCTTTCCATGGAGAGTTTGTCTTGATGTAGAGGTGGACTCTCAGGATAGCGTGGGATATCCCCTCCATTTTGGCCTCAACTTGAGAGCTTTTTTTGAGCTTGAGAGTTAAATTCAGAGAAAACCAGGGGCACCATCGTGTTTCTCGCGAACTTTTACATAAGAATCAACAGTCAAATCGCAAATTCCTCTCACATACAACATCTCCATTGTTGTCATTTCTCAGTAATATTTCATGATAATTTTCATTAAATGCTCCAAATATGTATCTTAAGAATTGAGTATTGTTTGTCGGCAGGTTGCGGCTGGAGCGGGCGGGCGGTGCGTGGTGTCCGAAGCAGCAGGTGGAGAAGGGCGTGCGGGAGTACATCCAGATGGACCTGAGTCGGCTCCATTTCGTGACCGGAATCCAGACCCAGGGGCGCTTCGACCACGGGCGCGGCCAGGAGTACGCCGAGGAGTACATGTTCGAGTACTGGCGCCCCGGCCTCAAAGACTGGAAGCAGTACAGTCGCTGGGACGGCAAACAGGTAAAACACTTATCGTATTTCTCTATGGTTGTCTCCCTGTGACATTTAGGATCTGCTCCAAGAAAAAATCTCACTTGTGAAGTTGGGGAAAATATTGAGTTAGTCGATACTACTCACAGTGCCAAATAAAGAGTCCTTGTGGAGTCCCGGGAACGACTTAAAAAGAAGAAGAAGAGAGGATGTGTCCCACTAAGGAGGGTATTTTGGCCCTAACTTTGGTCGAAAATTGAAACAGCTTAAAATAATGTCACGTATGGTCAAATCGACTCTTAATCATCTACCCTGTGAGAACTTGTCCTTATTTGAGGTGTTTTTGAAAGGTTTTCGCCTGATTTACCAGCGCAAAATAGTGAAGTTTTTTAAACAGTTTTCTCGAATAATTGCTCATTTTCGGTCCTAAATTAGATTGTTCGTGTAGTATCACAGGCGACTATAGCTTTCTCCTTTAAATATGTTGTAAAGGGTGTACTAAAGATTGACATATTCGAATATGAAAGTGGTAGTCGCTTGTCGCGATCGGACCGAGTTAAGTTGCATCAAATTTGAATTGAGAAAAACACGATGCAAGTTTCATATCCTCTAAAAACTCAATGCTAAGGAAACCGGTTCACAATTATTTTCACGATGAGAATATTTTTCTCAATTCGGAAATTTTGATAGGAGAAAATTAAAATTAACTTCTCGTTAAATTCAAAACTACCCCAAGCCTTTATCATTCAAAAATGCTAACTGTTGTGTATCTGCTCAACTCTGTCCAATTAGACGTATTTCTGCTAAACAGAACTATGTGCATTAAGACATGAGCCCTGAGACCCATAAGAATACATGCATTACAGGGCTCACATCATAATGCACACAGTTCCGTTCGGCAGAAATACGTCCAATTGTTCCATCCAGAATCAAGCCTGAAGGTTGTAATGGACCAATTGCATTCGCAATATACGTGGTGGAATACCGGCGCCGCTTTTATCCAAAATTCACTCCCTGACGTACAAATCAACTCTCAAATTTCTGGCTAATCATGACTGCCCATTGTTACATTATGGGAAGGCCCACCTTTGTAATTGATTGCATTCTGTATGCAAAGATCGGGCCTAGTGCGTAAGCAGGGTTGCCGACCTTGCAGGAACTGTGGAAAGCTAATAGAGCAATCTACGTGAAGATTTTTAGGGAGAAAATAGAAAAAAAGCACAAGTCCAATAATTTATAGCCACTAAGATAGGAATCAATGCATATGGAATCAGCAGGCTTAGGGTGGCTAAGGGGACCGAAAATACGAGATGTTCGCAAAAAGCAAAAACTTCTCAGGAAATACTACACAATTTACTCAGAAAATTTTGAGTATTTCTCTTCAAGTTTTTTAGACAATTTATATCTCAATTTAATCTGAAATATATGAAAATTTGCAGTTAAAATATGCTCAATTTTCCTTTAGAATATTCATTTTATCCCGGAAAATTTGGCAACTCTCGAATGTCCATACGGCGTTTTTCCTTAGCTTACGTCAGAGGGATAACGATCGATAAGGTCGTAAGTACATTTTGCGATGAAGCTTGTTGTCCACACGATTTGAAGCTCTTCCGGGCTCATCTCAATGTGCAGATACGCTCTTTTGCCAGCCGGGCGACAAATTTATCACTTTGAGTTATTCCGAATGCAAACTTGGAGTGAACTAACGGACTCAAAGAGCCCGAAACCGTGAATTCGATCGTCGGGTCGATTATAGATAATTCACAACTCCTTCTCGGTTATCCGCACTCGGAGATCGAAAGCTGCTGACTGTTCTTTTCATAAATTGCGTGCGGAATTGAAAAAAGACGACCAACGAGGAAGTAGGTGAGAGTGTTGCCGCCCATGCAGAATTTGTCAATTCTTTCAATAGTGGCTCATCGAATTTAAACGAGATGTTCCATGAAATTTGGCAGCGCTGGATATGATATGTAAACCCGGTACCACTTATTGTGTATGCACCGGCATCATATTCTCCGCCTGAATCTGCAAGGCGGGTGCAGCGACGAGAATGAGCTGAGGCACTGTTGCCAAATTGGTCTGATTTTTTTTAAAGTTATGTGTGCGTGTATTAGAAAGAGACAAAAGTATCTTTTAAAATGAGCTATAATGGACTGATTGGTTCTATTAGAAAGATTAAACGCATGAGATTTGTCGAAAAAAAATTTTCCGTCTCCATTATGTCCATTGTAAAGTATATTCTGCAAATTGTAATGACATTTTAACAGTGCAAGTTGACCACTGTTAGTAAATTTATTGATAAAAAGGTGTTAGAGGTACACGAAATCGAACATTCAATTTTTCTTCTTTTTTTACGCATTTGGAGACGTTTTGACATGTGTAGTTTCAACCTCTTTCTCTGGGGCACTGAAAATACAGATTTGTTTACGTTTTAGACGAAATTAACGCTTGGGCATTTTTCTTCAAGAAGATCTTTTTTACATGATAAATGATGAAATGAGAATTTTAAAGCGGACATCATTGTAAAGGGATGAACTTGCTGTATTGGATATAATGGAATCCCACGAAAGTTTGGGCTCGAAGCAAATAAAATAATCGCTAAATTTGGCAATGTATTCTAGGAAACACACCGCGCTTCGAACAAAGGGATGGCAAATTATAAAGCGCCGCGTAACGGAGCCAGGCGAAGTAGCAGGGACGTGGGGAGAATGGCGGAATTTGCAAACCGCGCCGCGCCGCGGAGGACGCAACACGCACGACACGTCCGCCGCACTAGAGGCCGCGCGAAAACGGTTTTGCATAGAGAAGAATTTTAATTTTTAAAATAGTTGATTCAATTCAGACCTTTTTTTTAAACGTCCTATCTTCGACCTCAAATAATCATGGCAATCAATGACACTTTAGAGGAAATAGAAATGACGTGAACAAGGTAATACCTATAGTTTCGCCTTCAATTTTTGAGTCAGGCACTCCTTCATGTGGCAATAGGTATTCTCTCGATGTTATTTATTCGTGTGCCGCTTTTTCAGTATGTATCGATGGCAAAAGTCTCACATCAAGTATATCGATTCGCGAAGTTGCAATCCATCTTAAATTCCTACTTTTTCTATCCTTTTATCTTTATTTGATTTTCTTTCATCTTGCGCAGAATATTCTTTGAAAGTTTTAAAAAAATGCTATTTGGGTTTTCTAAGTTAAAAAAACGGAGACTCTATAAAAATTGGAATCGAAGCATGGGGCCACAGTACGCGGTTTTAAATATTTTAAAGAGATTAATTTTCCTCAAATTGAAGCAGGTTGATGATTGGAATTTGAGTATAGGGGGACTCTTTCAAAATCTTAAAGAAAAAGCAATCGGCGTTTGGGTTCATTTGTGTACTAATGAAGGGCTTAAACGTGCATTCAAATCCAATAATTGTCAGCCATGAACATGAAAGTTCGGAAATTGAAATGTTTACGGTACCTTTGAATCAGCTTAACTTTTTGAGCACCGAGATGCCTTTTCCTGTGTATGTCGAATGAACCACTTCATTTTCTCAGCAAGGCTATAAGAAATTTCTGAAAATCGATTAAAATCCAATAAAAAAGTTCCAACTTTAGAAAATTCAAACAGATAAAAGTTTGTTACGAGAACATTGATTTCACTATCTCCCCTCTCTCAAAAAACATGGTTGGAATTAGAATGCAGCACGAAAATATCGTTTGCCTTTCCCTGAATCACACACAACAAGGCTTCATCCGTTCTTTTTTGGGCTGGTCCGGATTGTTGTTCATTGTGCGTAGCCTGTATGAAGATCCTTCAGACATGTCACCACTCGCGTCAGCTGCAGGGATCCTGCAAAAAAAATGCGTCGCTCCCTCGCCCCTCTCCTCTCTCCTCTACGCCACCGTATCGCGAATCAGGAGAACGTTCTAATTTCATTTGTCTGAAGCCGCGTGTATGTAAAATTTCCTGCATCTTTGCGCGTTTCCCTCTGCTTGGTATAACGCGCAAGTCACCAAAAGCTTCCTAGTAGACGACCTTCTTGAAGTCAGGATAATATAGTGAATTCGGCTGTGTTCTTGGTACCATTTCTTTCATTTTTAGAATGGAGAGGCATATTGGCAAAGGAACGGAGGAAATTTCCAGAGAAAAGTTTCCCGGAGTCTCTCTAGAACACTCTGTAAATATTTTACCATTTATATTTATTATTGAGACACCAAGATTTCCCGTTGTCCCAATGGGATTTTGGTTGTCATGATGAGAATTCCATCGAGACAAAGGGAATCCAAATCGACGGGGAAAATATCAACAGGACGTTCCATAGGGACTTCAGGAAATACTTCCTCGTGTACATATATATTTGGATTGTGGTGCTTCAAAATTTAAGATTATATACTTCATTTTTCCTGAGGAATATTATCTAAAAATGTCGTTTCAAATTCTCTCAGAATATTTTTTATAGGGAAAAGTTGAAAAGAAAATTTACATTATATTTCTCTTGAAAAAGAGGACAAAAACATAATCGGAGATTTTATTCTTTACCATTGGGGACACATTTTCCGCATTAGACATCGATACGTAGCTTTCTTTTCAAAACCTAAGTCACTTCATGAGCCTTCGAATCGGCTGCCGCGTCGGTTTCCGTAGCGGACGATCCAGTCCTTACGGAGTTGCGGGAAGTAAGCAAACATCGCGGAAAACAAATCAAATAAAACGCGGCGAGCGCATTTCGGAGCCGAACACACCCACGCGGGCTCTCTCCTAACCTCGCGACACGGTAAGTTCATTAACTGGATCCATTACTTAACTTCGAACACGCTTGCTTTTCCACTTACACCGAGTATCTTCCCGTGAGGAACTTCCACTACCGACTTCTTAGCAGGCTTATAAACGGCGCGGATAATCACTTCGGTGCGCCTCCGCGTGGTTGCGGTAAAGATCCATGCTGCCATGCTAAAGGAAAACGCCGTATGAGCCTTCAGACGTTGCCAAATTCTCTCCAATAAAATCTTAACTCTATAGGAAATTTAGGAATATTTTCCTTCGA